GCTGCAGGATGCTCTAAAGGCCCCTGCAGCCGGACTAGAGTGGGGGCGAGCAGCCAAGGTCAAACCATGGAGGTCAGTGTAGATAACAGTAAAGCCACCAGAATTTATTCAGGGTTTTAGTTTCTGAGCAAGGGAAAGGCACCATCAGATTTACCTTAGAAGGATTACTTTGGCTGCTCTGGGGAGAGTAAACTAGACCATTAATGGGGGGGAGACAGAGTAGAAGACAGGGCCCCTGATCTCAGCGAGTTCACAGTCTACTGGAAGGAGAGGACTATAATCAGAGAAGCCCAGCCTGTTCCGAGTTACTTTTGCAGAAGTCACTGCAAGCAGTGATCATTTCTCGTTGTAATGCTGCTGGCTTCAGGTCCTAATTTAGGATTATCAGAATGAACTTTTCCTAATTCATATTTTCTCTCCCAACCTTTCTTTTATCCCACTTGCCCTCAATTTTTCTATCATTTCTGTAAGGACGATCAATGTTTCTTGATCGGATTTATTCCTCAGGCCTTTTGGTTTGTTTTGTTTTGCCTTTGTGATTCCCATAATCCCACTGAGGATCAATTTCTTCAAATGCACTGGCCCCCATATGCCAAATCTCAGTTATATTTAAAATTAAAACTCCCCATTAAAGGCTGTATATGTTCCCTTGTGGCAAGGAAAGGAAAAAGAAAAGAGAAGAACATTTATTGAGAACTTGCAGTGTTCCTGGCACTGCACTTGCTGATAGTTGTATGCATATTATCTCATTTAATTCTAGATGAGGAAATGAGGATTATAGGGAACTCAGACTCCACTTCCAAAGATGATTCTCACTTTCCATTCTGCTCTGGTGTTCTCAGATTGCTTCCTTGGCCTTTATGGTTTCTTCAGTCTCGGTCCCTCAGTCTGACAACCGGGGCCATCAGTGTATCAGCAAGTATTTACTTAGGCTCTCCTGAGCTAGGACAGTCATAGAACGAGGGTGATGATATTAATACCTTTCCTCCCCTAGGGTGTGCCAGGATAACCACTGGATTCTTGATAGCTCTTGGATGAGAAATGTTTATTAAACAGAAATAAGACAGAAATTCTAGTGCCTTTTTTTGGCTTCTATTTGGCATGCAAGGATAAGAAAGTGCTCAGTGCATTGGGGTTGTCTCAAGAAAACTGAGGACCATGCTGGCTTTAGGAGATAAATTCACCATTTCAAGAGTGGACATCCAAGAGGAAGCATTTGATGGGTTGTTGGCTATCTGACCTGGAACTCATAAGAGAAATAGGCAGGAGATGAGTGTATATTTGAAAGTCCTCAGCCCTAGATGGTCCCTGAAGCCACAAGAGGAAGATGGGATCACACAAGGGTATAGAAAGAGTGACAGGAGGGGCAAGGACAGATCTCTGGGAGACTGAAAATATTTAAGGGACAGAGGCTTCTGGGTGGCTCAGTTGGTTAAGCATCTATCTTCGGCTCAGGTCATGATCCCGGATTTCCGGGATCGAGCCCCACATCACGCTCCCTGCTCAGTGGGGAGTCTGCTTCTCCCTCTGCCCCTCACCTCACTTGTGTTGTCTTTCTCTCACTCCCTCACTCTTTCAAATAAAATCTTTAAAAATATATATTTAAGGGACAAGTAACGGAAGAGAGCCAGCTGGGGAGGAGGCAGGAAAACGAAAGGAGAATAGTGTCTGGAATCAAGGGAAGGAGAACAAACAAGTAAGAAGTGGTCAAGTGGTGCAGAATGTGAGAGAGAATTCAAGGAAAATAAAGGCAGAAGATGGTCCATTGGAGTTGGCGGCAAAGGGTATTGTTCCTCACTGTGGGACCAGTTTCAGTAGACTCCATATGTGGAGGGTCAAGAAGTGAAGGAACTAGAGACAGACAGACTTTCCCAAGTCCTGGAAAGGGCACAGATGTCTTCTGGTTAGACTATGTGTTCTGATTTTTGGTTTCAAAATATGGTCACTACACTTCTGGGCAGCCCAAGAATCCCAAGAAGTAAATGACTTATAGAGAGGCAGGACAGAGTAGAGATTCTAGGGGTGCTGTCTTCATTTAAGATTGTGAGTGATAAAGTCTGAAAAAAATCATCACTGACTCTTGGATTTTTTAAAAGCTAGAAATGAATTTCCTATGATGGGAAGGGAGGGGGAGCTCTTTATTGATTACCTATCATTTTATAGTGCTATAGTGCTCAGGCTCGATATTTAATCTTCATAGCAGCCTATAAGGTGAGAGAATTAGCCCCAAGTACAGAAAAGTAAACTAGGCTTGGGAGGGTTTAGTGTACCTGACCACCCAGCTGCGACATGGTGAAGTCACTGTGTGGTTGTTGAAACTGTATTTTTTTTTCATCATATGCAGCAGGGAGACCAGGGCAGCAGGAATTCCTCCCTCTGAGAGAAGATATATGAGCCCAGAGTTTGTGAGGGGGAAGGAGAACCACCCACTTGAAACAGCTAACATGTGATCCCCGAGCTTGGAAGAGGGCAGACTGCCATTTGAGAAGGAATTGGTAAAAAATACAAAATGAAATAAAGTCAGAACCAAAAAAGGCATCATGTAAGGTTAAAATTACGTGAATAATGATGTGCATTTGTTATTATAATGTTTTCCAAGTGCATTTCATTTTGAATGATATACTCAGATAGCGCACATGGTAAGGTATAATTGAAAAAACATGCAGGAGAATGGCTGCATTCAAAGAATAAACATACAGCTGTGAGGAGGTTAGGAGTCAAAGGGGTAAGCATATGCCCTGTCCCCCAGGGATCTCATTAGTGCATGAGTGACCATATATGTAAGAGGCTAAATGAATCTCAGTGTTTGCAAAGACCCACGGTAAATGAGACAATGATGAATCAATAGTAATTAGGCCTATAGATTCTTATTGACCCAGATGTCAGAAACCAAATGCCCTGCCCTGAGATTCCTTGAGAGGCAAATGAAAAGATTTATAGACGTGTGCTTTAAAAAAAAAAAAAAAAAAAAAATCCCTTGAAGTGCAGTAATGGTATTCTGAAGTGGGATATTGCTAGAATCGGTGCAGACTCTTGACTTCTGGCTCAGGAGGACATTCTTGTGGCTTTTGTTGTCACTGTGGTTCCTGTTGGACCATGAGCAGAGGGAGCTGGGCAGTAGACAAGCAGAATGTGATCAGATTCGCCCCAGGAGCAAGGCTCTGGCCCTGCCTTCCATGGAGGCCTCAGGGACCCTTTCCTCACTGTCCTGGAATCATGCGAAAACAGAGTTTGAATGTGGGCTTCAACGAGTTATCTCTGACCTGGGTTACAGAAAGCACATGGCATCAGAATCACACAGAGGAGGGTTTATTTAAATTCAGCCTCACTCTCCTGTCTTCACTTCTTTGAGCATCCTTCTGGAAAGGGGTGTTACCGGTCCTGGGCTCCTGAGCCTGGGGTTGAAGGCCTGTGTCCTGTCAGGCAGGTGGTAGAGCTGATGATGCTGTGGCAGGTAAGCCTTTTTCCAACAGTATCATTATCCTCCTAAGAGGATCCAAGGCAGAAGATGTTTACAGATGGAAATGAGGTGTCACAGCGAGAAGCAAAGAGATTGCCTCCACCCAGCATACCTTGCACACACACACACAGGCATGCTCACACACACACTTGCACTCACTCCTGCACTTACATAGACCTGTTTTGTTTTGCTATCTTTTCTGTCTCGGAGTTCCACGTGAAATTTTTATTTAACAAAAGAATTTGAAAACCACCATTCTGCTTGTTTGTTTCTTCCTTTAAGCTTCATTTAGGAGACTTTCGGGAACTTCTTGGGCTCCATGGGAACATTCACAGTGTCACAAAACTGGAACTAGAAATCTCTGAGCTGCACTCCTAAAGCATTTTTAAAATGCAAATAATATCATGTTAGGTATGTCAGATACTAACCTCCCTTGGACATTGATTTCCTATACTTTTTCTCCTGCCATTATTCAAGCCATGCTTTTAACCTTTAAAGCTATCTTTCCAAGGTCACCAGTGAGAAGCAGCTTGGATGCCACCCTCTGATAAACCCACTTTCCTCTAGAATCATTGGTTCAAGACTTGGAGAAGGAAGCATGTTTAAAGAGGGGAAGGGTGACCCACTTCAATCTTGGTGCCATGCAGTAAGATTTAGCTCAGTGAGATAGGTATTATGATGCCCATTTTATGTATGGGATAACTGAAGTTCAGAGAGGGTGAGTCACTGGCCCGTGTCACCCAGCTAGGATGGGTGGAACCCAGATCTGAGCCCAGGACTCCCTTGGCTCCCAGTCCGCTCATCTCTGTCTCCCTCTCATGCAAACATATGAAGACTGACAGGTGGTGTGACTCCCTCATTCTGCACCCAAGGAACCTGAGCCTTAGAAAGGAGAAAGAATAAATGTCATGCCATTTGGTGCATTTGGGCTGGAAGTAAAGTCTCCTAATTCCTGATCTAATTGCACTCCTCTGCCCTGTCACTTCCTTTAGCCAACTCCCATCCTGAGTCCTGGAACTTGCCTTTATATTTGTCACCTCATCCTTATTGTTATAATTAGGAATACTGATTTTAAAAAATCCTTCACATATGTACAGTATTGTACAGTTTGCAAAACACACTATCTTCACATACAGAGTCTCCTTTGATCTTCACAATAACCCTATGAGGTAAATTGGATAGGGATTATAGTATCTGTTTTTACAGATGCTAAGAAAGTGGTTCAGAACGTTTGAATAACTTTCTCATGGTTACATACCTACTGGGGGTAAAGCCCCTCCTGGACCTGGTGCTCTGATTCCAAGCCTTTCCACTTTGCACCAGGACATGCTACCTGTTCTTGGTGATGGCCCAGTATGATCAGAGAGTGCAGTAGTGCAGTATGCTGGTTCCTGTGGGTTTGGGTAGTTTCTCTGCTGAAGGTTTGGGACCCTGCTTTCTTTCTGGATCTGATATGGAAGTACAAATCGTTTCTTTCTGCAGAACAGTTTGCTTCCCAACCCTACCCCCCTTTTAAAAACAAAATCAACTTCTCTTCCAGATGCCAGAGTGTATATGCATATTTGAACAGTCACCTGGATCTGATTAAGAAGGCTCGGCCTGTGGGTTTTCTCACTGTTGATTTACATGTTTGGCCAGATTTCCATGGCAACCGGTCTCCCTTAGCAGATCTGACACTGAAGGGCATGGTAAGTAACAGCCAGTCCTTGCACTAAGGTGAAGGCAGGCCAAAGGGCTACAAAGTTTGGAAGAAGCAAAGTGAGGAGAAAGAAAAGAGGAAAAATAAACAGGACAGGCCAAGGGCGCACAGGCTTTTTGCAGATGCCTCGCTGTTGCAAAGGCTCTTGCAGCTCCCCAGGATGAGCTGCTGAAAGTTCTCATTGTTTCTGAGCCAACCTTGAAAGCGTTAAAAGCACTATTTCTTATATTTAGCTACTGCTGCCTCTTTGTCCTGTGGAGGGGCTGGAAGTCGTGAGCGCCTGCCTGTGTGATTTTTTTATTTACATCACTCTGCAGAGTCATGTTTTCTGCCCTCCCCCCACCCTAGGCCACCCAGTAAATAACTGGTAAATATTACCACCCATGGTCTTGATTGCCACAACCACATGTCTGTTCAGGCTCTGAGTCAGAGCTGTTCAGAGTGCATGTTAACATTATTAGGATTTCAGATTCAACTTGGCTAAAAGTAAAATAAAATTCATAACTTGGGGGATAAATGGAGCTGCTGGTGACCTTTGGGGTCACGGGTGGTGCAGAAGATCCTGGGCCCTCCTGGAGGGGCCAGGATGAACTTAGGGCAGCATTTGTAGCCCCCTAAGCTAAGATAGGGCACCCTAGTGTCCAGGCGAGATTAGGTGGCCGAAAGTAGGATAGCCATTGAGAATCGTATTTTAGGTTTGAGAAAGCATGTTCAAGCTGGAGAAATAGAACTAAGCTTCAGAGGCCAGGAGGGGCCACAAATAAGAAAATAAGCCAGGAATTCAGAATCCAGGAAGATGTCAAAAAGTTGAGAAGCAGAGTGTGTGGTGAACGGAGGCGGGGAGTTCAGAGTGGAGGCCGTGAGCAATGCAGGGTTTACACGGCGTGACAGTGGTGCAGGCTGCTAGCTTAAAGAGCTTCAAGACTCAAACTTCTATGGTTTTGTGATTCATTTTATTGAGATTGTTTTCAGTGTTTTTATGATGCCAACAGGAAGACCTGATCTTTATTTTCATTACCTAGTTGGCATAATCAACTTCTGCTAATAAAAAGGAATCATGGGGAAAGAAAAGAAAATTGGACATAGCATAAGTTATGTCTGTCTGGAGTCCATGAAGCGTGCCCACACAACAGATAATGAGCTTGGCCTCCTTACTTGGCCTGTGGAAGCAGAAGAGGAATGTCGGGAGAGGGCCATGTGGCCACAGGCTGCGGCCAGAACGCTGTACTTGCAGATAACTGACTCTCTGGGTACAAACAGAGGTTGGGGAAGAGCACATTTTTTATGGATACAAAAGTGAGTGTTTTAATTGAAAACAAATATCTGAAACCAAATATAATGGACCTTTAAAACGTTAAAGATGTTAAGAAGCATGGCCAGTTCATAAAATGACCCCAGAACAAAGCATGGCTATGTAGTGAAATGATCGTGGGTCTGGACTCCATGGACTTGGACCTGCAGTCCTTCCCTGGGGGCCCTCTCTTGCCAACTTCTGTCATTCCTAGCGTGGCAGGACCCATGGCTTCTAGTGGTTTTTGTCTGTTTCTTAAAACCAAGCTTGACATCCGAAGACTTAAGAGTTACCATTATAAGGATATTCTTATAAAGGTAACCCAAATCCAGAATGTAATCCCCAAGGAGTCCATGGAGGGTTTTGAAGAATGCCTGCCTCCTTATAATGAGTACTGCTAAGTACATGCTCACCAAGAAGACTACCTGTACGGGGGCATCTCCCCAGTTGTATCAGAAAATCCATTAGTATGTTTAGTTTTTTAAAAAGTTTTATTCTTTTATATTTTTTATTTTTTTAAGATTATTTATTTATTTAAAGAGAGAGCACAAGCAGGGGGGAGCAGCAGGCAGACGGAGAGGCAGAGGGAGAAGCAGGCTCTCCACCGAGCAAGGAGTCTGATGCGGGGCTTGATCCCAGGACCCTGGAATCATTACCTGAGCCAAAGGCAGACACCTAACCAACTAAGCCAACCAGGTGCCCCCCCCCAAAAAAAAGTTGTGTTGTTTTATAAGCAAACCTCATATATCGCATGGTATTTCTGAGCATTGACTTCCCTTTGTAGCTGCTTGGGTTGGGTTTACATTGGAATAGCTGCCACTCTGTGAGCTTACATCACCACACTGGAAGGAGAAGGTGACCTCGATAAGGAAGGAAATTCTGGGCTAAAAATTTCTCCCAGTATTGCTCTCCCTCAGTTAGTTTTACTTTTTTTTAAAGATTTTATTTATTTATTTGACAGACACAGCGAGAGAGGGAGAAGCAGGCTTCCCGCGGAGCAGGGAGCCCAAGGTGGGGCTCAATCCCAGGACCCTGGGATCATGACCTGAGCCGAAGGCAGACGCTTAACGACTGAGCCACTCAGGTTCCCCTCCCTCAGTTAGTTTCAGATAACATCAAACTAATCACCCTGAAATCTCTATTGTCCTGTTCTCCTTTGTCAGAACCTGTAATGACTACTGTCTCCAGCACCCATTCAGTAAATACTTATTTGGTACCTAGACCCCAGAACAAAGCATGGCTATGTAGACACAGTAAGGTACAACAAAGCCGATGTTCCTGGAGCATGATTCAAGGGAGGAGAGGGATACAATGTATACATAGCAAGTAGAATAGTCAGGATGTTCCTAGTAGGGAAAGAAACATACATGATTTCTTCTTTTGGTTCCTGAAACATTTCTCTGGGCATATACTATGTAGTTAATATATACTTAATTGATGGTCAGCATGGAGATAAGAAAGAAATCACGTATTGCTTTAAAAACATACATATGAACAATTTGCTAACATGAGATGGGTTAGTTGCTACTCTTACTATCCATATAAGTATTTAATATCAATATTAATGCAGCCGTCCTCTACTTCATTTGAAAATACATATGAAGATGCAAAAAAAAAAAAAAAAGCATAAACTCATGCTGACTTTGAAAATTCACATCACATGTCATTCAACTAGCGACACTAGAATTGACAGTCTCGGAATCTGGGAAGATTTTCCAGAATCTAAAAGGCTAACTGGAACTTGTTGGTTAAATCTGTGACATATGAACAAAGTGAACCTCCAGCCTTGCAGGAACCTGGACCTCTCCATCTTCTGCTCCTTAGCCGAATGGTGCAAGTTCCCTTTAAGCCTCAGAACAGGGCAGTCCTCCCCTCTTCTCTGCTGCCAATGGTTTTAGGGTGTTTTGGTTTTCTGGAAGCAGCCAGTGAGTTTAACTTTCCAGAACTCTCCCACAACCCAGACCTTATCGTCCCTTTTAATTCAATCCATCAGAAAACTGCCAACCAGGAAGCCAACTGGGCATGAAGTCCAATTTGGAATGACGGGTGATGCCCTGCATTCTAAGGATCCTGAATAACACTTTGTTATTGGGACATAGATAGGAGTTTGGAGGAGAGGTGTAGGTTTGCATGTCAGCTGTCTATTCTAGGGTTAGAAAACTGGGCCGTGGTAAGGCCACCAAAGCTACTCAAAACAAAAACTGCTGGACTCTGGGAACTGGCAATTAGCTATAGATCTGAAGAGGCAAATCCACGTACCAGTGAGTGGGGCTGAGAGTAAATCATGTGTACGGTCTGCTGGGAAACACTGAATATGTATAGCTCTCTAGTTAAAATGAATAAAAAAATAAAGTGAGTCTAGGGGCGCCTGGGTGGCTCAGTCGTTAAGCATCTGCCTTCGGCTCAGGTCATGATCCCAGGGTCCTGGGATCGAGCCCCACATCGGGCTCCCTGCTCCGCGGGAAGCCTGCTTCTCCTTCTCCCACTCCCCCTGCCTGTTCCCTCTCTTGCTGTCTCTCTCTCTCTCTCTCTCTCTCTCTGTCAATTAAATAAATAAATAAAATCTTTAAAAAAAAAAAGAAAGTGAGTCTATTAGGAAAAACATGTTGCATGCAAAGCAAAAGGAGTATCATTGGAACACTTAGGGAAAGGCCTCAAAGAATTATATACTACTCAAAGCAAAAGGAAATATTACAACCTCTTTAGCATATTCAGTAGGATTTTTTTAAAGGGCACATCTCTATGAAATAGGGCAGAAACTTAGTGGGGAAAAAAATGAGCTCAGATGGAAAAGCAGTGGAATGAGAAGAAAAAGGAAATGATAAAGACAATTAAAAATACAGGAGCAGAATTAAAAAGTGCATTGAAGGCAATGAAAAATAATTTTTACGGAAGAAAATAAGATCAGAGCTGCCATATGACGTAGCCTGTGTTTTACATTTATTAGAAAAACATTTGGAGGGTAGAGGCTACTTATGGCATGCATGTTTGCTTTTAAATTTTCAACAGTGTTTAGGTCAAAGACAGGCATCGAATAATTGCCCTATGGCTAAGTGATTATTTCAGTCTTCACTTGTCAATGGAGGAGTAAACGGTGACCTGCCCAAGGTCACCATGACAAGAAATGGGGAGGTTAAATAAAAATGTGAATCCTGACTTCCAGCATGCACATCCCCACAAGGCTGCCGTAACTCACACCTCTGGACCTCGCTCGATGTGCTGAGGACTCTAAGATAGGAGTCCTACCAACCATCCTCTGCATGGTTTAATACCGAACCACACTTCTCAGCCTAGTTCTCGGTTCCCTGCTGCCAAAACCAGCCTTCTCACTCCTTTCCCATGTTCGTCCCTACCCTGGGCCTTGGATTTAAGCTCTGACCTCTCTCTCCTCAGTCATGGTTCTTATTTCCTTCACACTCTCACTGACTCAGATTCCAGGAGCAATCACCACTCCTGGTTTGACCTGGCTCTAAACCCTTCTGCTTCAGGTGCCTACCCTCGGAAGTAGGAACAGGGCATGACCCAGGACTCTTGCCATATGCATGAGAGCATCATTTTCTTCTGGTAACAGGTGGCTCCCTGTCATGTGCCTCGCTGCTTCATTTTTCCTTTGGTGATGCAGTATTGACCCATGACACTGGGCGAGAAAGAGGTGGACGTTAGGGGGTGGGCCACTTACTAGTGTGCCTGGACCAAGT